GCCACTTGTCACATCGTAATGCCCAGCGTGGTAGCTGCTCTCCGTCGCTGGAACGCCGCTGACCGCTGCTTCTGAGGGGCACCCAGGAATTAATCGTTCTTGCTGTGCCCAAGACGCTCCGGTTGGACGTTCGCGGCAGAGAGGTCATGCCGTGTTCTCTCGGCAAAGTTCCGGTAAGGACTCCGCGAGCCGGTGCAGCGCCGAGGGCCCAAGGCGCCGTCCGCCCTCGCAAGGACATCTCGAGTTGGGACGTACACGGAAAGGTAAATTGGAAAGGTGACCCACGTCAAGGGTGCTGAGTGCAAGCCCCCGCCCGTCCCGCACCCCTCCCCACGCGCCCTCCTCCGGCTGGCGCCCTCCCAGGAACCCTGTGTGGCCCTCAGGGCGTCAGGAGGAGGGGTGTGTGGGACAGAAGGAGATCTCCAAGAGGAAGAGGGCCAGTTGTAGAGAGTATGCAGAGCATGTGGCCTGCAGGGGCGTAGGGGGAAGAGGAGGAGGGGAGACCATCTGGGAGGGGACGCGGAGGGGGGAGACCCCTGGGGGGCGGGGGGGAAGAGGAGGGACTTGCGAGGAGCCACAGGAAGGCCTTGGGAGGATGATTTTAGGGCCTTCTGAGCCAGTGGACCCCTGGGACACGTTCGGGAGAGGGGACACTGTCTGGGAAGGGGCTCGAGCCCACACCCAGGCACATGTCCCCCTTGCACGCCTTCCCGGGAGGACAGTTTGGAGTCAGGCCAGGGCAGTTGAGGAATCAAACACTTGATGGCATTGGGCAAACCCTGCGTGACGCGTCTGCTTTTAAAGACAGGAACACTCGGTCTGTTGACAACAGTGCCCGGCTTGGCCTCTGCCGCACCTGCCCCTTTGCGCCCTGTGCAGACCCCACGCCGCAGCCCCTCAGACTCTCCGTCTGGGCCGCCTCGGTGGCCTGCTCTCTCTCCCTCCCGTCCTCCCTGCCTCTTGTTGCTTTCTGCCTAGAATTGTTCTTTGTCTCCATCCTTAGGGCTCAGCGGAAGCCCCACTTCCTCAGGGAGGCCCGCTGTGGTGCTCCCACCACTCCGCTGTGGAGTAGGGCCCCAGAGCACCCCCCGTGCCCGCCACGACGCTCCTAACTGCTCGCGCTCACTACGCATTTTCTGACTGCCTGTCCCTGCGGATTCCGAGCTCCGAGAGGACAGGGCCCCGTCTGTCTCATTCCCTCTCGGTCCCCAGTGCTTCATAGAGGGTGCGGCGCATCGTAGGCGCATCGACTTCTTCTGTGCTTCGGGGGCTGGCCCAGCCCCTTCTAACGGACACTTTCTTAAAAGTGCGTTTGCCCGTCGAGGTCTGTGGGTCCTCTCTGGGGAGTGACAGTGGCGGCTTCAGGTCTCTGCATATCTCTGCTTTGATGATGATGATGATGATGGTGATGATATTTTTAGTAATGACAGTAATACCAGTAATTATAACGGAAAGTGCAACCACCTGTAGAGCCCCTTCTGGGCTCCAGGGGCCGTGTCCGGGGGCGTTTTGTAAGCATTCCTGTATTTGATGCTCACCGTGTGCCGACGAAGTAGGTGTCATTGTCTTGAGATTCAGAGAAACAAAAGAGCCTATGCAAAGGTGAGCTACGCGAAATCGCTTTGAGTCCAAGTCCGCCTGGCTTTAACACTAGAGCCAGGGGGCGCCTGGACAGCTCAGTCGGTTAAGCGTCTGACTTGGGCTCAGGTCATGATCTCGTGTTTTGTGAGTTCGAGCCCCGCGTCGGGCTCTGTGCTGACAGCTCAGGGCCTGGAGCCGGCTTCAGATTCTGTGTCTCCCTCTCTCTCTCTGTCCCTAGCCGCCCCCCTGCCATGCTCTATCTTTCTCTGTCTCTGAAAAATGAATAAACCTTGAAAAAAATTTTTAAAAAACCCTAAAACTGGAGCCAATACGTGATGATCTTAGAACGTAACTACCAGAGAGCAATCTGGATTCCCTTTATGCAGGATCCTAGGGGGTGGGGTTGTGCTGCTGGAGCACGGATGGTGTGCTGGCCGCCAGCTGAGGTTCCCACTTGCTGAGAGAATGACAGAGGTCTTCCTGGTCCAGGGAACACATGCAAACTCTTAGCTCTCGTGTGCCACAGCTTCGGAACGTTCGTTAGATCCCAGGGTGGCACCCAGAACAGGCTGATACTTGGCAATGTTGTGTTATTTTCAGTGTTAACTAATTAGAGCATCTCAAACTTCTCTTGTACTTATTTTAAGCCTTAAAACAACCGTGCCTGCCAAAAGCCTGCTTATCTTGGTAAAAGCACCGAACTACAAATAGATGGCTATTAAGAGCGACTGCTGTAAGCACCGAGACCATAGCCTCTGGGGACGGCAGATCTCAGCATGGGGTCAGCTTCCTCGGGGTGTTTGGAGGGTCTGGCTGCTGCTGGTGTCATTCCCCGATCACGTCTCGATGCCCCTGCCCAGGGAGACAGCTGGGTGCAAAACAGCCCACCGATGCCCAAGTCCGGGGCGTGGGGCCTGGCAAGCGAAAGGCCCCCAGCTCGCGAATTAGGCTTGCTTTGTAACGTTGTCTAATGAAAGGTAATTACCCTGACAGTACACTGTCCTTATGAAAAGTCATTTTGAGGTTATTTTATCCAGAGCTGCAGCCGTAAGTTGAGTTCCTAACTTTCCTGGCAGGGAAGGGGGTGGAGTTTGGCTACACAAGCCAAGGGGCTGGACCTTCAGGCAGGCCTGGGCTGGGGTCGCCGGGTGACCTAGGGCGGTCTTGAAAATAGAAATTGTGTTTTCTGGCCCGCTGTTTCACTCTTCCTGAGGTGCACGTAAAGGCCGAAAGGGAGACCAAGCCCTGCGTTGGCCACACGGCCAGATTCCACGCAGATTCCACGCGTGTCCGCCAGCCTGCCTCAGCATGCCCCGCCCCTCCAGCCCAGGCCCCGCCCCCCCAGCCCAGCCCAGGCTATAAACTCTCCTCTGTCTGCCCACACCTCCTTCCCCTCACTTATCTTCTCAGACCAGCTCACCATTTGCTGATCTCCTTGTCTGTGTTTGCATATGACAAGGCTAGGAGGCGCCACAGCCTTCTGGGCTTTGTGTTATGAGCCCGCCTGGTCCCCGGCCCGCCCGGGACAGTGATGTTCATCTACGGAGGGTCAGATGTCAGCATGAAGGAGATACCTGTCCCGGAGGCCCCGCTGAAGAGGACCCTCCTTTTCTGAGGGGGGCCTGAGCCCCAGGATTCCGAAGGATGGGTTTCCATTTTCATTCCTTTGTGGAAGCAGATAGGCGGGAGGCCGCTGGCGGGAGGCTGCTTCGGTGAAGAACTCAGGGGAGAGCGTGAGGCCACGTCCACGGGCGGAGGGTAAGAAAGTCTGAGTCTACAGCTCTTCACGGGCTGAGAAAGGAGTGGTGGGGGTTCCCACAGGCCCCTCCCACCGCAGCGGCTTCCCACCCCCGGCTCTCTGTGGTTCACAACCCGGGAGATTTTTCTACACGGGTGTTTTTGGGGGGATGCACCCTCACCCCTCAGGCTTGCCACCTGCTCACTGATGGGTGTGCTTTGGTGGCACGAGGTCTCTGGCTGGCCAGTGCCGCAAACGCCCCTCGTGCCACGGACACCAGGCGGGAACAAGCACAAAGGTTTCCGCTGCCCAACTTCGTGGTCCTGTAATTTCCTCAGATCGTGTTTCCTGCTTCGAAGGATCAAGTGGGAAAGGCGTGGGATTTGGTGTGAGATCTGGGCTCAAATCCTAGCTCCCACTGCTGGGATTACCAACAACCTGCCTCACCTCCCCTAGTAAATGACGATGGGACCCAAAGCTACAAGGGCCAGTGGGCCCAAGCATCATGTCCCCTCCGGGGAAAAAATCATCCCCCTGTGTACTTTTAGCCGCAGAAAATCTCCATTAAAGCCCCGCAATTCGAACCCGCTGGGAGGTTCTCCCATCCGTCCTGCCTTCCCGCCTGCGGAGAGGCTCCTCACGCTGTGTGTGCCGTGGGCACCTGTACATTCAGACCTCGTGACTTATAGTGTTGTATACGCTTCTTTCTGTGTACTTTTAAAAATTGATATATCGTTCATGTATGTGTGCTCGGGAGAGTAGATCACCTCATAAAACCATACAGCCTCTCAACTAGGTGAGACCCTAATGCTGTTCTAGACCAACAACGGTCATTTCCAAGTGAAGAAACACGGCGAGAAGCTCTACGATCTGGTCGAGGGCAGAATCGTGAACTGAATCTGCTCAGTGCTTTCTGCTTCTTATACTTCTTACGGCAAAAACAGGATAGAAAGCACCCCTCGCCAGTAGCCTCTGACACCGTCATAGCATCCGCCACACCACTAAATGTTTTCCCTGCTTTCGCCACGCAGAGGCGTTGATGTGGGTAAGGCCACCCCGGGGATCTGCTGGGGTCTCCAGCCCAGTAGCACGTGCTCCCTTCAGTTAAAAGCAAGAACAGTGTTCCCATAAAGTCTGGTCATACGGTGAAACTAGACTGACCATGGGCTGCGTTCAGTTCAGCCTGACGGGAAGGTAGCGTGTTATATCTCAGGATTTGCTTAGGTGAGCATCCCGCTCATTACGTATTCGTTTTGGTGATGGAATTTAAGCTGCCACTTTTTCATTCAAAAGACATAATTTTTTTTTTTATTAAAGAAAAGTCTGGAAATCTTTGAGGACTGGTGTGCATCTCAGAAATGGTTTTCTTCACCTTCACGGCTGCACCAAACGGGCTTGAGCCCCCTGCCGCCACCTGGTGGCAGAACTGGCCTCTGCATCCACTCCGGCATCTACCTTGAGCCTGTTGTGGGCCAGCTGGGGCTCGGTGACAGGGACAGGGGTGAACAGACAAGGTGCCGCCTCGCACGGGGCCCGCCTTCCAGTTTGTCATTTCAGCAGGACATCAATCTCTCCAGAGCGAAATTGTGTGACCTCAGTGTAGATAGACACTGTCACGACAAGCCCCGGTCCGATGACAACGGACAAACTAACACACCGGTCTGCTGGTTTCACTTTCCAGGAATCAGCGGCGGCCCCTTGGAAAACCACTACAGGCTAAAGCAGTTCCACTTCCATTGGGGAGCAGTGGACACGTGGGGCTCGGAGCACACGGTGGATGACCGCGCGTACCCAGCAGAGGTTCGTAGACGCTATCCTAGCACCAAAGACGTGGGTGCTTTCCACTTGCCAGGCTCACTTGTAGGGCAGCAGACCAGCCTGGCTGCCCAGAGAAAGGATTCCCGGGGCACGGGACTCCCCGCGCTCACGCTGGACCAGGCCATCCTGCCCATCCCACCCACACGGCTATCCTGGGGTGAGGGTACTATTCATACTGTCCTCTAACAGAAGGAGAGACGGGGGTGCTGAGCGGCCACGTGACTTGCCAAATCAGCCAGCTGGGATTCAACAACAGAGTCTGTGCCCTTAGCCCGGCATGCAGCCACGTCCGCGCTGCTGGTCGATCGTGGACTAGAAGCTTCCTGTCTCTCAAGGCATTCGGGGCCTCTCCTGAGACCTGAAAAATCTTCACGACAGAAATCACCTTCTTGAAACAACGAGACATTTGCAACATCCCCAGATGGGAATCCGTAAAGAAAGCGAGTAAGGATAAATGTTAGGAATTGGTTTTCGCAGGTACGGTGGGACAGCAAGCGGTGCCTTTTTGACTGTCCCCAATATTTCGTCACGAAATTTTTCCAACGGCGACTGGCAGGTCGGCACAGGGAGAGCCCGCGAGGTTGCCGCCCAGATCCTACCACGAGCATTTTGCCCACATTCGCTTCGTCACATGTCCGTCCGCCCACAAACCACCTGACTTCCTGATGCATCTCAGGTCAGGGGCTGTTTTTGTGTTAACTTTTCGCTGCCATCACAGTGGAGGTAATGCTGTTGCTCAAACAGGCCTGGGATGCAGTCAAAGTAAAACATGAAACCCACCTGTGATCCCAGCCCCAGAGGTGACCTCCAGGGACGGTTTATGAACAGGAAGTTACATCTCTGGTTGTAAGTAGACACAACTTGACAGATAACACGGACACGAAGGAGCGGGGCCGGTTCCTTGCTTTTTACGCAGCAAAGCCTTCTATCTCGGGAACCGTGTCTGCACGTGGTTTTTAATGATCAGCTGACTTAACGGAAGAGGCTGTTGCACAGAAGCAAGAGCAGAGCCTGGGCCCGCCGGGGGCTTTCCCTGAACCGGCCGAGCAGGGGCTGCGGGGCCCGTCCCGGCCAGGCCTCCGGCCCACGTGGGAGCGCCCGTCTCCCGTGGAGGTTTGGAAGACAAATTCAGTCACTGGGGGTCCCTGAAGGAAGCAGTTACAGTTGGGGCCTTGGGCCCAGTTGTCTTTATTTCTGGGAGACTGAACAGGGACAACAGGTGGGGGGGTTCCAGGTGAGCCATGGATGGGCGGGGAGAGCTCACACCGCCCTCGGTGGCCCCGGTGCCTGTGGCTGGGAGCACTGGGGTTAGGTGGGAGTGAGGGGCCGCCTGGAGCATATGTGGACCCCACACCCTCCACCAGGTGCCCCCAGGCCTGGACTCCAGCGGCTGCGTGAGGAGGGGCTAGTTGACCACGAGAGGCTGGAGGGCTTTCTGGAGTCTGTCGGTGTGGACTTGGTGCTCGGGTCACCGTTCAGAAAGGCCCCCAGCACACCAGGAAATACGTGCCCACGGCCAAGCCCCCTCTTGGGTCTGGGCCAAGCTCAGCATCGGCAGGGCCACAAGCTCTCATCACACGGAAGCCTGGCCAGGCCCCGGCACCCTGCCTCCCGCTGGCCAGCGACCCAGGAAAGCGTCTGTCCCGGACTCGTCCTCTGCCCCTCATTGAAAGCCTTGTCAGTTGGCCGGTCTTGATGGCGAAATTGGACTCGGGAAAACCCAGGGAGGGATGTGAAGTAAGGGCATAGACGAAGTTCAAGGGAGGTGACAGACATAGGAAGAAAATGCAATTGGGACCACACGCTGACATTAAAAATTGTTCGCCGTTCATCTGAAATCCAGATTTCACCGAGCGTCCCGGCAACAGGCAGCCGTCCCGGCACCGATTCCTATGTTACACCGTTCACATCGGCCTCACTGGGTGGTTTGCCCCGAGTTCGGGAGCTGCGGGCGGCGGGCCTGACTCTGCGGAACGGACGCGCGGGCTGCCCCGGGGAGGCCACGGCCGCCTCGTGTGAACGCGCGTCCTTTCTCCTGGGTTTCAGCTGCACCTGGTTCACTGGGATGCTGCGAAATACCGAAGTTACAAAGAAGCTGTGCTGGGGGAGAGCGGCCTGGCCGTGATAGGCGTGTTCCTACAGGTAATGCTGGGGCGCGGCTCCCCTGGCGGGGCGGGTGCGCGGTGGCCGGGAGCTGCCTTTGAAACCCTGTCCGTGGAGAGTGCGGTGTGGCCCCCCTCCCGCCTGCTGCCTCTTCAAAGGAGCCTTTCTCGTCTGCGCCCTGCAGCTGGGGGCCCACCATGAGCCACTGCAGAAGTTGGTGGACGTCTTGCCAGAAGTCAAGCATAAGGTAGGCCACGCAGCCTGAAACCAGCAGCTCCAGAGAACCGAATTGGCTTAATTAACGATCGTTTGCGGGAATTAAAGGCCACTTTGGCAGAAGGGGGTGGCGGGGCTGGGGGTAGGTCTGAGTCCACTTCTGGGAATGGGACTCGCTGGGGCTGATGCCCGCGTCCACGGGGACGTCCACGGGGCCCTGCTCCCCGTGGGCCCCTCCCTCCTCCGTACCACGGGGGTGCCGGACTCCCATCTGAGCTTCCCAAAATTCAGGGTTTTGCCATGTTCACCTGCCACGGGCACTATTTGTTACTTAGTATTTTTCCTTACGCTGTCGTTTTTTAAAAATCTTTAGCCTTGTCCCAGGCAATGGCATCTACCAGGGATAACATTTGTTTTAAACCGACTGAAATAAATGCCTAACCGTTCACATTTAAGAGCGTCCATTCGCGGGCCACCCGGCACACTCCTGGGGGGAAACTTAGCACCACCCCATCCCAGCAGAACGGGGACGCCGGGGGACCGGGGGGAGTCTCGCCAGCTCGCCCGCTCGGCCCCCCCCAGCTCCCTGCGTGCACCTTGCTGCGCTAAAGCTCAAAAGACAATGGCAACATTGCAGCTTTTCTCCAACAACAGCTGTGAAAGGACTTTGATGGAGGGGTGGAAATTCCAAAGAAATGTAGTTTATTTGTTCAGGTACCAAACAAAAGAATTCCGCGACCCGAGGAGTCACGGTGGTCCCTGGACGGATGGGCTCCGACCCGTGGTAACAATGACAAGAGCGGCTCCAGATGAAAGCTGGGGGCCAGCCCTTCCTCGCCGGGTTCACGGGGCCTGTGCGCTCCCCCTTGATGTTGACCTCTGGGCCGGCCTCCTGGGGCCAAGACCAGATCACCCCCCACTGCCTCATCCTGCAGCTCAGGAACTCCGCAAGGTCAAGGTGCTGGGAGCATCGTCTTTCCCGCTGGTCTGCAGCCAGAGTAAACCCAGGAGGTCTTCCGCGTGCACGCCCCCCTCCCACACGGCGTGGCCTCCACCTCTTGGTGGGAAAGAGAAGACCTGGCTGGGAGGTGCTGTTTACGCCGGGTCTGTTCCCTTCCACGGAAGCCCTGGAGCGCATCTCCCCGCGGGCCGACCCAGCGCCTGGTGGGCAAGTCTCACGGGAGACGTGGCATCAGCAGGGGCCTCACCCGTGGGCCTGACGCTCCCCCTGGGCTTTGGTTCCTCCCCTGGGAAATAAGAGTGAGGGTCTAGGGGACAAAAAGCCTGTAGAGCGGGAGTGTGTGTCTCGTGGAGCAGTGAGGGTAACCCCGCCAGACTCCGTGGCCCCACCTGCAGCCCACGCTGGGGGCCACCAACGTCTGGAGCCACTCTTTACATCTGCAGCCTCGGACGCCACCTCTGTGGTGTGCACCCTTTGGGCTTTGACACATGCACGGTCATGGGTCCTCCCGAAGTTTCAATTAGCAAGGAACAGCGGTGGGTGCACGAGCCACGGCCCCCCGCCCCCCACTCCCGGGGTGGGACAGACTTGCTGCAGCGTCTGGGTTCTGCCACTCTTTACGTGGCTTTGGGAAAGTCACTTCCAACTGTCTTAGTTTCTCCTTCGCTGAGGGAGCAGGAGCTCTCGCAGGTGGTTCTGAAACTTGGCGGTAACAGCCTCGGCAGGTGTCCGGCCCGTCAGCACCCTTGGGCGCCTCAGGTCTTGAGGACACAACGCTGAGCGGGAACCTGGTCACAAAGGCAACACAGAATTGGATTCTTTGTAGGAAACATCCAGAACAGGCAAATCCGTGGAGACAGAAGGCAGATTTGTGGCGGGGGGTGAGGGGAGTTTAGGGTGCGTGATCGCTAAAGAGCATCTACTGGGGCTCTTTGTTTCCTGGGGTCCTTTCTGAGGTGCGGAGAATGTTCTAAAGCTGACCAGTAATGGCCGCAGGTCACGATCGTGAATATACAGAACGCCAGAGCCCTGGGAGCTGTCAACGTGTGGGTTCCAGGCTCTGTGAACTGTATTTCAAATCCACTTTCTTTTTTTAAGTTTTATCTATTTATTTTGAGAGAGGCGGGGAGAGAGAATCCCAAGCAGGCTCCACCCCGTCAGCGCAGAGCCCGACTGAGGGCTCGCACTCACGAACCGTGAGACTGTGACGTGAACCGAAATCAAGAGTCTGATGCTGACCCCACGGAGCCCCCCAGGTGCCCCGCTGCTGCTGTTCCTTACGCGTTAACTAGACTGCTGCTCGCACAGTGCACAGCCAGCACAGCCGGGCGGTGCTAGCCGACAGCAGGGGTGAAGCAGCTCCCGTCCTCGCCTCCAACATCTTGCCTAAGGGCTCCGTGTCTGACTGGGGGGTCTGCAGTTAGGGTACAGTCGGGCCTCCTGGGCCCCAAGCGCCTGTGTCTGACAGCTGGGTGGCAGGGTCTGGACGAGCAGGGAGGTCTCCTTCCCCCGAGGCCGAGCGTGTGTCCTCCCCATGCCGGGAGACCCTCCCGCAGAGCCGGCCCGGAGCGGGGACCGCAGCAGAGCTGGGCACACTGGGTGCCGGTCAGTGCTGCGCTGCCCCCGGGCCTGCCCCGCCTCTGCAGAGCAGGGTGGGGGCGCTGTACTGGGCCTGCCAAGCCCAGGGACCCCGAGACATCCTATCTTCACCGAGCGACAGCCTGCTCGAGGGCCTCTGGCTGGGGAACCGAGAGGTTCTCCTTCGCACCTGCTCCAGACGCCGTGCCGAGCGGCATCCGGACCACAGCCTCGGTGCTCCCACCCCTGCTGGTGGATTTCTTCAGGGGGCCCAGCCCTGGGCGGAAGCAGGGGGGTCCCTGTCTGCGGGCTCCCTGCCCCCACCTCGTTCCTGATTTTGTTTCTTGCTTGCTCATTCCAGCTGGGAGGTGGGGGGGCGTGAGTTCCGAACAGAGACTCCCGAGCCGGGGACGTGCCGACAGCATCCCCTCGGGCTGCCGCACAGGGAGCTCGGCGCATGGTGGTCGAGGACAGCTGTCCGGGAAAGGAGGGTCCTGGCGTGAGGGTCAGGGGACGCTGCCTCGAGGGGAAGACCGGGTGTCCCAGAAGGGTAGTATTTTCTGGTGCAGCCACTACGGGAAACAGCCTGGCGGTTCCTCAAGCAATTAAATGCGGAATTGGCGTGGGACCCAGTGTCTCCGCTTCTGACTACTTACCCCCAAATAAGTGCAAAGCAAGGTCTGGAAGAGGCGTCGGCACACCCGTGTTCTCAGCAGCACTTCTCACGGGAGCCGAGGGGCGGAAGCAACTCGGGTGTCCGTTTAGGGGGGCGAACGGGTAAGCAGAGCGGGGGCCGTGCACACAGTGGAATGTTCCTCCGCCTGAAAAGGGAGGGGCTCCTCACACCTGCTACAACGTGGGCGACCCCGGAGGACCCTGTGCTCCGTGACACCGGCCGTCACGCGGGACAGTCGCGGTGGGGTCCTCCTGACACGAGGCGTCCGTTCCCCGAGACAGAAAGAGGTGGGGGGGGAGGGGGGCGAGCTGGCGTGTGACGGGCCGCAGTTTGTTTGGGAAGACGGAGAGGTCCCGGAGACGGATGGGGGG